CGTCTCCCCTCTCTCTCGCTCTGTTGACAGCATTCTGTTCTGTAATTTCTGTTTCATTGAATGTAGTCAATTCTGCTTGCTGCTTCTGAACACCTCTATTGTGTCTAATGTTGCTGAGGGGGGGGATGGTGTCGTGAACAGTACCGTGATTGTGTGCAAGATGCATTCTGTTCACCGTCAATCGGCATGCACAGTATCTTTTTTTTTTTTTTTTTTTTTGGCATGCACAGTATCTTGTTCATTGAAGATGGACCCTACTGTGGTTTTCATAAAAAATGTCTCTGGCGTGCACATTACCTTGATTCCATGCAAGAGCTACTATTTTTATCTGAAGACCACATTAGAGTTGTCTTCAGTGAGCTCATGGCGGCCTTCACTACTTGTGGTTTGTCACAGTACGCATGAAGACATTGAAGAGTAATTGGTGCACAGTAAATGTGCTAAAACGTTCAGTAATGGAGTGCACACTGCACACTGCACTGCGTGATGAATTTCTTGCACAATATAACAATATATATATATCGTCACAAACATATATTAACAACAGATATATATATATTAACAACAGACTTCTTATTTCATGGCCTGAGAGCATAACAAAATTAAATAAATTTGAATACGTTCAATCAACTTCAATGATATAATTTAACACCTGAACAGTAATGTGGTGGCATGTGGATTGTTGTTGTTTTTTCCCCGCAGATTGACGAGTCACCGGTGGACGGTCAGGTGTTCGATCGTGTTGGCCTCGAACAAATCGGCAAGGAAGGTGTCACATTGGTCAGTGTGAAATTGTGAATCCGAGATTTGATCCCATGCGCTCTAATACAATGCCATCCATCTCTTATCTTATCCGCGATTCAATCCGATCTGATCCGCTCTCCGATCCAATCCGATCCGATCTGATCAGATCTATTCCCTGATCCAATCCGTGATCCGATATGATGCGATCACTGATCCGATCCGATCCGATCGGATCCATTCCGATCTGATGCAATCTCTGATAAAATGCACAGATCCAATCTGATCCGATTCAATCTTAACTTGAATCCGCTTCGATCCTATCTGCCTGAACAAATCCACAGAATGTATGTAGTTTGCATGCTGAAAGATGCAATCCCAATAACAGCTGAACCCTGATCCAAAAATCCCAGTCCAATCCCACCCCCAGCACCCTCACAGTGCAAACCCAGCACAAATTCTACTTCCAAACCAATCCCAATCCAATCCCGACCCAATCCCAAATCGAATCCCAACCCAATCCCAATCCAATCCCCACACATTCGCTGTCCAATCCAGTCCAATTAGAATTCCAATCCAATTCCAATCCGAATCCCAACCCCAATCCCAATCCCAATCCCGAGCCCAATTCCTAACCCGATCTCAGCATAATCCCAAGCTGATTCCAACTAACCCAATCCCAACCCAATCCGAACCAAATCCCAATCCAATCCCAACTTAATCCCATCCCGATCCCAACCCAATCCCAACTCAATCCTTTCCCAACCCAACCTAATCCCAACCGAATCCCAAGCTAATGACGGCCCAATCCCGGCTAAACCGAAATCCAATTCCATCCTCATAGCAAACCCAACGGGTTGGGTTCTGGATTAGGATGAATAATTTGACTCCAATTGGAGTATCCACAACCCAATCTGGTGTGGTCCATCGTCTTGTTTGATTCCATTTCTGGCCCGGACTGTTATGTTCAATTCCATTGCACTCTGATTCAACTGCATATATTGCATGGCTACGCCGGACCCGCACACCAGACCAATCTGGACGTCCAGGCGGAGGTCTGCCTGGACTGCTCGGGACCGTCCAGATTGAAAAATAAAACTAAAAAAAAAAGAAGAGAAAAACACATTTCTGCCCCCCCCTTGGATTGGCTACTGCAATGATCCGCTCAGATTCACTAAAAACTTAAAAAGAAAAAAAAAACTCCCTCCCCTCCCCCCCTTGGATTGGCTACTGCAACGATCCGTGCAGATTCACTTTCCACACAACAAGCACAATGAAAGCCCACATGGAGATTTCACACCAATACCAGATTTGAAACACCAAATCACCGCAGCTCAGAAAACTTCAATGAATACTCTTATAATCTTATTATACAAATTGTGAGATCAGAGGGTCAGCACTCATCAGCGCAGCCAACAACAGTGATCAGCTCTCATCAGTGCATTCAACAACAACCTCAATCAGGTATGTAACCAAGCACCCTCCTCCTGTGATTATCTCTCTCTCTCTCTCTACCTGACTTCTCTCTCAACTCCTCTCTCTCTCTCTCTCTCTCTCTCTCTCTCTCTCTCTCTCTCTCTCTCTCTCTCTCTCTCTCTCTCTCTCTCTCTCTCTCTCTTTCCGAAAGCTTCAATCATGACCACTTCTCACTGTTACACACCATCCCATCTTATCTGAACCAATGTATACAACCCATGGTAACCATCTTGGTTCCATCTGGAAGTGTCTGGTGTCCGGGTCAATCCAAGTCTCAATCGGGGATCAATTCCACAATCGAATCCACAATCAAATTTACAAGCCAATCCACAGATTCCACACTCTAAATTCATAATCCAATCCACAATAAAATCCATGATCCCAATGGACAATCATATCCAGAATCAAATCCCCAACCCAATCAGCAATAAAATCCAGACTCAGATTGAGAATTACATCCAGATTCCAGAATCAAATCCACGATTATAGTCGTGATTAGATCTGTGCCTGGCTTCTGACTCGACCCCACCCACACTGGAACCTCTCATATAGTCTGGCACTCACTTTTGTATTTGTTCCTTGTCATCATCATCATCATCATCATCATCATCATCATCTTCTTCTTCTTCTTCTTCTTCTTCTTCTTCTTCTTCTTCTTTTTCCTCCTCTTCTTCTTCTTCTCCTTCTCCTTCTTCTTATTCTTATTCTTTGTCTTTCTCCTCCTGCTCCTCCCCCCTTTCGCCCGTTTCATCCTCTTCCTTTCATTCCCTGTCCTTTCTTGTCGCCGCCTCTCTTTTTTTTTTGTTGAAGAATCTCTTTATTTTGTATGATATATAATGTCCAATCATCTGTTTCCCGGTCAGGGGATAGTTGCCCTGGGTTGGATGAGAAGTTATGTTTTGTGTGTTTCTTTGACACCCTCATGATTGTGTCAGTGTGTATGTTTTTTTCATCTGAATGGTCTATGTTTCCTGTGCGGGCTTGTTTTTTGTTTCTTGGCTGGTTGGTTGTGTAACCCTCGATTAGATGATGAGTGATTCTACAAATGTGCTTTCGCCAGGACGGACGACGAGTGAGAAAGATGTCGCGGATGCGTTGATGCGGCGAGTGCTTGCCGCAAAAGGACGTGTCATTCATACCCAATTTGCATCGAATGTCCATCGTCTAGGCAGCATCAAGGCAGCAGCTGATGCGTCAGGCCGCAAGATGGTGAGGACTCTGTACGGAGGAGATGAATTAACGAACCACCAGTCTGTGTTGTCAATGAACCCTTTCACAAAACTTGCTGCTGCACGCGACAGCGTGGCGATGCACTGATCTCTTCTGGCTCTGTGGATAAGCTAGTAGAATCTGAGTATATAACTGTATGTTGTTGAATATTCTTTCCTTATCTTATCTTATCTTATCTTATGTGCCACGTGTACAGAGTGTTTCATTGGACTTTCATTGAAGATGTTCTATGATAACGGAATCTGATTATGTTGTTGAATATTCTATTCTTATCTGATCTTTATGTTATCGTATCATATATTACCATAGCTCACCTTACCTTTTACCTTATCTTATCATGTCATCTTACCCTACCTCACCTCACCTCACCTTACCTCACCTCACCTTGGCTCTCCTCGCCACACCTCACCTTGCCTTGGCTCTCCTCTCCTCTCCTCTCCTCTCCTCGCCTCACCTCACCTCACCTCACCTCACCTCAGCTTCCGGTGCCGTGCCATGCCGCACCGTGCTGTGCCCTGCTGTGCCGTGCCTTGCCATGTCGTGTTGTGTCTTGTCGTGTCATATCCTACTGTATCGTATTGTGTCGTATCATTCATATTTTGTTGTGTTATGTCGTATCATATCATATCGTGTCTTATCTTATGGTACAGTACTGTATAGTCCGGTCGGGGTCGGGGTTGAGTCAGGTCGGTTCAGGTCCGGTCGAGTCGTATTGCCTCGCATCGTGTCGTGTCCTGTGGTGTTGTACTGTGCGGTACCGTACCATACTGTATCGTATTGCACCACATTGCATCACATCGGTTCAGGTCGGGGTCGGGGTCGGGGTCGGGGTTGAGTCAGGTCGGTTCAGGTCCGGTCGAGTCGTATTGCCTCGCATCGTTGTCGTGTCCTGTGGTGTTGTACTGTGCGGTACCGTACCATACTGCATCGTATTGCACCACATTGCATCACATCCGGCCACGTGGAAATGTTCCTATCTGTCATGTGTACTGTGTTTCATTCGACTTCCATTGAAGCCGGACCTTCATAACAGAATCTGACTATGTTTGTGCATACTCTTATCTGCCATATGTAAATGTTGCTGTCTGCCTTGTGTACATTGATTCATTGGACTTTCATTAAAGTTGTACCCTGGTAATTGAATCTGGTTTATCCCTACACTTACAGAAATCTCTATTCGGCGCGCAGCGTTTGGCCGATCCGGGCCGCCGGAGGCCTACCGGCCGACGGCCCGGATTTCCGCGCGATCTTAAGACTTTAAGACTTTAAGACTAAGATCGCGCGGTGATCCAGGCCGTCCGCTTTGACGAACGGCCTGGATCGCCGCGCGATCTTAAGATTCAGATCGCGTGGAAATCCGGGCCGTCGGCCCGGTACCGGTTGGCCAACGGCCCAGATTAGCCAGGCGTGGGGAAAAACCGGTTCCAGGGGGGCCGGTGTCCTATAGGGCGCAGCGGTTCGGCCCCCGCGCATGTCTTCGGCGGCGCACGGAGCCTGTGTATTGCGAACGAGACAGCACTCACTCACACGGCCGCCCGCCCGCCGGCCCGCCTGCCCGCCTGCCCGCTTGAACAAGCACATGCACAAACTCACGCACATGCACACATGCACGCGCACACACGCACATGCACTCACGGACGGACACGCACGCACGCACGTGCACGCAAATGCATCATGGGCAGACTGTTGGGGTTCAACCTCCTGATGAGTTGGTGAAAGTCCAACGAAACAGTCTGGCAGAGTCGTGCTTTTTTGGGAGGGTTCACACAAACGCACGAACACAGGTGGGTGGGTGCGCGCGCGCGCGCGCGAGAGAGAGAGAGAGAGAGAGAGTCCAAGCACCCCACCATGACGACGCTGACTGACGTAAATGAGTATGAAGATGCCGATTAAGATGAAAGATAAGGAGCACTATATGCGAGGACAAGGTAAGATGATAATGGCGTTGAGAAAGGGGGGCGAAACAGTCTATGGTGGTTTTGTGTTTTTTCCTCCTGACTCTGATCGCAAAAGGGAGACGAAGCGACGTGAAGGGGAGGACGAGGAAGAGGAGTGGAAGGGCGAGGACGAGGAAGAGGAAGAGGAACACGAGGAGGAGGGAAAGGAAGGCGAAAGCCTAAAAGGAGGGAGGGTAGGGAGGCAAAAAGAGATGGAACGGGAGGAGAAGGGGGAGGAGGACAAAG